TTCTCATATCTTTATTCGGTCGATATCGCAGCTGAGGCGACTGGATATCATCTCGACCGCAAGTGGCTCAATATTGGTATTTTGGTAGCGATCGGAACACTTTATCGAGTGATTGCTTTTGCCGGTATGGTTCTTGGGCATCGGTTGAGAAGATGACAGTATAGTGTTTCTTGGGTTCTGGATTTTATGTAATGTTAAGCGTTGAATTGAGTGTTTGATAAAGACCAATAACTGTGAAATAAGTGAATAATGCTGGCACTGTCAGCTGCCTTCCATCATTAAAGCAAAAACGATGAGGTCAATTGTTGGAAGGTACCTAGCTGCCTGCCAGGCTAATACCCAACACCCGTACTTGCCTTGTCAAGTTCAATGACTTGTCGAAAACATCTCCCCCAATTTGGACTGTGAATTTCCATTATACAATAAAGACCCTAATCGCATACATATTGGCTGTTGGTTAATAGCTCCATGTCGATATTATTGGCACGTTGATTCACATGTTGATCTCTAACGGCTTCAGAGTCCCTAGTCTCTGTTTTGCTACAAACATCCCTGCAAATCTCAGCATTTCAACAGACCAATGCAACGTCGAGAGATGGATCACCAGTCGTCAAACGCAGCTGCACGCAAGAGTGTTTCGGGTTCCGTGCCCCATACTCTCACAGGGTTTCACTATCGAGTGTTTCAAGAGTTTGAAGCAAGGGCCTGTCGTTGTCTAGGTATTGGCTAGGCTAATAAGAAACAACAGAAGGATTGACTGTACGAAAATTGTGACCAGCTGGTGAACCGAAACCACCCAACGAATATCTTGTCTACACTACACCAAAGTATCGCCAACCAACAGCTTCGATAAAGTGAGAAAGCTGAAATCACAAGTCTACTAGTGCTAGTACGGCAAGTGGGAGAGAAATGCCAACGCGGACAAAAAGTATAATGGCATACTTGTCGACATATTCCGATCAATTCGGTCTATTACCGTTGGTCGTAAAGGATTGTGTTGAGGGGGCGCGGGCGGCACGAATCTCTTTGACGAATCCTCCTCGGTTGTTACCCCCACACATCCCGTCGGTTATGAGTACGCATGCAATACATTAATTAGTTAACTGCTAATTATCATCTTGCTCACTTGTGGCTGGCCCTGGCACAACTTGAAGGCTTGTCAACCAGGGACATTCTGGGTACGTCAGCAGTGGAGGTGATACCACATAAATGATACCATTTTGGTTTCTTCTGATGCCGTTTCTTGCTGCAGTCTGCAACATCAAGGACGATCAACTCGTTGCAAGCGCCAAGGTTGGACATAATACACGGCTATCTTGTTTCGTATCGACCTGAACTATTGGACTGACCGACTGATACCTCTAGTCATTGCTGCGTGAGAAGGATGGTGTCAATACATCGGCGCCGGCACAGTTAGTGCGATGGGAGACACCGTTGCCGCAGGTCTAGATTATTCAGCTCTTAGAATTCGATTCGATTTTAGAAGCCCCTGACGATCCAGCAACGAAACAAAGGCCGCTACGGGACATGTCGTGTTGGAACCGGGTGCTAAGCGTCGAGTATCTCGTCTCGAGCGGTTACTTGACGGATCATCCATCATACATCATGTCGCATCGCTCATCCAAAGTTTCAAGCACCCGCATATTGCGAATGTTGGTTTGGACCTAAGGCAGGCAGGCAGGTTATCAGTGTGTCCACTCACACTTCACCTCGAGCTCTTGTCATGGCTCACACGGCTGCATATGAACTTGCACCGGAGAAAGCAAAGCAAACTGAGCCTTTATTTTAATCGAGCAGCTTGGACCCGACATGGATCAAATCAAATTAGATTCACTGGCTGTCGCGTGCCCGTAGAATTACGGTTTCAAGCATGGGCCAACCTGGACTATGAGTTTATAGGGCACGCCAACGGCGAACTAACGAGCTCTGGGCTGTTCGTCGTCTCGGCTCCCCGCTCCTGTCGTTTGTTGCTGGGGGCCAAGTGGAGATGAGGGGCTGAAGGCTGAAAGGCCCCTGTTGTGTCATTCAACAAAAAGGACGACGTCTGTGACGAAGTTTGGTTATTGATGATTGTTGCCAAGTGGGGAAAACAGCACCTCTGATGCTGTCGAGCATCAACGACATGACATCCAAAAGACAAGATCCCTATCATTGATTGGGTCAGGGTAGAGATAAGACGTGGCGTGCATAGGCACAGTACAATATCAAGATGCAGCGAGCGCTGGATGTGCTTTGCGGCAAGTACACCACCACGTAGAATCCTTCTCACAAGTCTAGACCAACAATCATTGATATCGCTCGACGAGATAGTAGCGTGTCTTTCAACTTTGTCACGCAACCACCAGTGACTCCAGCACCACCTTTAACACATGGACAAACCCTCTTCGGAAAAGCGAACCCACCATCCCGCATTGGCGCTACAGCCTACAGTAGATAGAGGCATTTCAATTGTCTAGCCTCCCACGATGAAGGTAAAGACAGTCACAGTCACAGAGCTGGTTGGAAACGGAGTCGGGCCCAACACCCGTCAGGGATGAGCCAAGGGCCCAGGGATCCGGCTTTGGACACCCGTGACAGCAACAGACAGCGCCGCACGATGCAAGGATCTTAATGCAGAGTCTGTCGCGTCGCATTCGAAAAGGAAAATGGACGCTACGGCCACCAGAGCGTCGGGTCGTTCAAGCCTATTCATCGACTTGCAGGAGCTGACGACCCTGACCCCAGTTACCTTGCCTTCTCGAAACTTTGAAAATCTCTTCGTCCTCCCCGGACTTGTCTCGAGCTATTTCTCCCATCTCTCCCTCTTCCTCGCTCGATCTCTTGTTTTTAAAACATTGCCATATCTCATCTTTATAATCCTATCATATTATATACTATTTATTCATTTATTCGATACCCTTGTTCCTTCTTCGGTCGACTTTGTTGCTGAAGGCTGGCCTCCTTCTCTCATATTCACAGTTCTTATCTTATTGTTCTTCATCTACCTAACGTTAGTCTAATACGCCTTTTCAATCATGGCGACCTGCACCACCATGGAGAGTCCTCAACACATGACCATTCGAGAGCTTGACTTGAGGACCTGCCACCCAAGCACTGTGGTTGATAGAGTTGGTGCTGTTCCAGTTTTGAAGACAAGCGCTGGTAAGTTCTTTCTTCATCTTCTGTCATGCTCTTTGTCTCTTGGACCCTGTGTAAGACCCTGCCGCTCGGTTACCATGGCCACCACCATCAAGGCCTACCCTGGTATAACCTTGGGCAGGGTTGAGCACACGACGGATACTACATCCAGCCTAGGGCTGATTGGCACGAGCTCAACATTCAACATTTGAAGCTATTCTCGTATACAGCTTGCCCAGCATGAAGACAGAGGATGGACTATTACAGTTTGTTTTCAGTGTTCATGTTGTAGCTATCCTTGAGACAAAGCTCAGCATGAATATGGTGCTTAAAGCAAACGCCATGACTAACATCGCGACTAATAGCTTTCTTCACATTCCTGCGCGCCAACCTTGTCCTTCACTCGGCAATGGTTTCGGCCACCAGCACACCGCAATTTGGTCCATCTGTACCCTTCTCTTCTTTCGTCCCTCCATCGCCTTCTCCGCTTGCAACCTCTACTCCATACTTTGGACTCGACGACGATGAAGACGTTGAACCATTGTCTCTCGAGGTCCTTGACAAGCCCCAAGACAAGGTCGAGGGCATGCGCCTTGTCGCCGACTCGATCGCCCAGATGCGCCAGCGAGCCTCGCTGAACCTCGTTTTCCACCCAGTCTGTCTTGCCGGTTTATCAGCTGCCCTTGCTTCTATCTACCATTTCAGCGGTGTTTCTCGTGACTCTGGACTTGGCATGACGGTCTCGTGTGGTGTCATCATGAGCTACCTTATGGGTATCCGTTATTTGGCTAATGGCTACATCTCTTTGGCTGAACGACTGCGCTGGAACTGGCTACGATCTGGCGATGGAGAAGAAGACACTCTGCTAGCTGCCCGTCTCAACCAGGATATCATCGGAACCCTTGTTCTTCGCCTTGAACCCAACCAGACATCCAACCACAGACGAAGACGATCACTTTCTCTCCGAGGAGGCAAGGGTGTTATTCGTGCGTGGACCACCAACCTCAACTACCGCGGAAAGGGTGTTGGAAAGGACCTGCTTCAGGAAGCTGTGCGTGTTACCAAGGAGAAGTGTGGAAAGGATGCCGAGATTGGATTTGCTCAGGAGCACGCAAACAGCGCCATGTTGCTCCCTGGCATCTTCAATGCACCCTTTCGACGTGACGAGGTTCGAGCTACCAGGGCATTGGACGGCATCTTGTCCAACTGGGACCTCATCAAGAAGAGGAGGTAAATGAAGTTGCTTCATCAGCCAAAAACACAACACATGCCGGGATCTTGATCCCTTTCGACGGCATCACCACTAAACAAAGCCGATCACAATACGAGAAGATGAAGGGGGATGAATGGACGACGATGTGAGATACCAAGATTGCGATAAACAAATACCCCAGAAAACGATACAGCCGACAGAAAGAAGACACAGCAATCGACAAACTACATAACGATACCACTAGAAGACGACGGGTCATGCTAAAGTAGACTCTGATTTACAGGAGAGATGGGAATATGCAGGAGGGAGCATTTAATGGCTGGAGCACTACTCTTTACTTTTTCTTACTTTTTGTTTTTGATACCTCACCTACCTGTACTGTCACTTGAGATACCCCATATTTCTATCGTTTAAGAAGCTCATAATTTGATCAATAACAAACAAATGTTTGATTGTAAACATCCTATCATTCTTGTCTGATTTGTATGACAACGGTTCCTCTCGTATGTACTCATTCATAAACAACCCTTTCTGGTATCATTCTCTCGGGTAACATCCTCTCAACGGTGGTAAACAAAGGCAAAGGCAGCAAATCCTTCTCCGGAACGCTAAAACGCCATGTCGCACTAAGGGAAATTCTTCATCACAAAGGAACGAAGACACAGGTAAGCTACTGCTTCTTGGGGCTGTAGGTATCAGGGTCGAAACCCCAGAGAGGGCGTCCCATGCGGCTCAAGCTGTGGATGACCTATTTGCTGGGTCAGTGGGCGTTTTTTTATTATGGTCAATCAATGGAATGTCACTCACGTCGTGAACTGTGACAGTCTTGGCGTTTCTGTACTCGACATAGATGACACAATCTTGGAGAATCTAGCATATCCGTTAGTGTCTCAACAGTGAATACTTAGGTAGTTGATATACGTACACTTTCAAGGCGGGCTTTGAGCGCAGCTCGAATATCAGCATAGATAGTAGCAGAGATACGCTTCACACCACCACGGCGGGCGAGTCGTCTGCACGTCCTATGTCAATACTTTGATTCCTTCAAATCCTCTAGAGCTAGCTTGACGAACCGGATAGCGGGCTTGGCTGGAATGACACGGTCAGTATGTACATCTTTGGTATTCAGGGTAAGTGAATAGACATACTGACGCCATGTATACAATCACGCAAGACCTTGCTACAAAAAAAGAAATTATTGTCAGTTTGGTGTTTCATTCTTCTTTTCTTTGATGGACTTTACCGGTGTCGTTTGCCACCAAGGACTGTTTTGCCACCAGTGCTCTGTTGACCAGCTGGGCGACCGATGCCCCTCTTGTGCAGCGCAACGACCTTTCCGCCCGAGTATGTAGGCGTAGGCATTAAGCGTGAGGCCGAAGGGCCAGGACGAGAGGAAGGACCTCCTCGTAAAGGCACCGAAGGCATGGTGCTTGATTAATGAAGTGTGATGAGTAGGGATTATGTATCAAAAAGAAAGTTAACTTCGAAATTAAAACGGATGTCGTTAAAAACAGAGTATAAAGATTAGCTTAATTTCGCACTTGACTTTCTTTGTTTTGTAAAATAACAAGCGCGACAGGTTAGGTAGTTGGTTGGTTTGGGCGCTCAGTCGTGATACATCATCTCATTCTCAGCTTCTTCGCCCAACCACGTGACCACAAAAATGAATCACTGTCAAGCACTGTCAAGCACTGATAAACACTGGCAGAAAGGGGGTTTTACACAACTGTCCACCAGTGGCAAAAAGCTGAACGAGGAATTGATGGGAAACATCATACTACTTTTTGGGAATGCGAGCCAAATAGTGGCTAGTATACTGTTTTAGGCGGTACTCCTTGGCTTCTGATAAGATACAGTTCGTGACACGTGAAAACAGTTGAACAAAAACAGGTCTACTTTTCATTGCGGGCAACTGAACTTTTATCAATCAATGACTACACCCCTTCAGGTTCGCAGTCCCATGAACATAACAATTCAAAGGCCAAGTTCAAAACCATGCATTCATCCTCACACTCAATCCATTAAAAAACACTATGCTTCCACCCGAGTCTTCTCTGTCGCCCTGAAACGACGTGCCGTAACGCCTGTGTCCTCGCTGCCCTTGCTGCTAGGAGGTATATATCATGAAAGCAAAGCGAGGGCGTTCGACGCCTCTCGCATGTGGGGTATAAATCAGGTTGAATCATAACTGATGCTAGGGTACTTTTGCTATCAATCCGACAATGCGTTCAGGTAGCTGTTCTGCATGAATGACCATGGTCAACCTTCAAGTCCAAGGTTGAGGAAAAACATATCGCTGATGGAAAATGATATGAAAAATCACTCTTATCACGCAGCCACGGTTTCGGACGCAGTAGCTTCTGTACCTTCAACAGCCTCGGAAGAAGCATCAGTGGCGGCAGGGGCATCAAGGACACCGGCATCCAATGACACCTTTGCTTTCTCTTCAGATTGAGGGGTATCATCCATCATAGGCATATCAGGGTCGATAGGAACATCATCTGTCTCCGGGGCAGGGTAGGTTTCCTTCGTCTCTTCCGAGGGCTGTGATACTTCGGGTGTTTCAGCAGCCACATAGCGGGCGGTTTCAGTAGTATCGTCGGGTCTAGATGCTTCAGAAGCGATGAGTGCCTCGGCAGCAGCCTCAATGTCTGTTTCGGATTGAGTCTTATAGGGTTCGTCGACGGTACGAGGTCTTTTAGCAGGTCGCTCATCGGGATCTGAGCCGATTGGGTGAACCGCTTGGAACTCAAGCTCGAGTTCGTCCAAACGTCGCTTCAAGCTGTTCTCACGTCGATGACTATCTTCAAGTTGTGCGCGTAGCTGAGCCTCACTCTCTCTTGTTGCGTCAAGCTCGGAGCGCAATTGGTTTTGTTCGACACTCGCAACCTGTTGACTGTTTCTAGCAGTGGCTTCTTGTTGCTCCAACTGGGCAAGACGACCTCGGAAAAGCTCTATGATTACTTCGAGTTCGCTCACTCGTGTCTTGAGGCTTGAGTTTTGCGCGATGAGCTGCTCCTGCGATTGAGGTGCATCCATTTTGCGATCTCCGTTCATAGGCGATGTCGCGCGGCCTTCTCCAGTTGCGACAAAGCCACTCTGGTATGGGTCTTCAACCATAAAAGAGGATAGGTTATGGCCATACATCGAGGGGGTGCCAGTGCGGGAGATGGGGGAGTCTCCATCGTGACCGTTCGGTTTGTTTTGGGATGCCCGTCGTGCGGCATGAGCAGCAGCTTGTCCAGTAGTATCGAACCCGTTCGCATCGGTCGTGGCGAATCCATGTGCTGCTTGTTGCTGCTGCTGCTGTTGTTGCTGGTCAATATTAGTAAGAAACATAATGTCGGAAAGTATCAAACTAACCTTTTTCTTATTCGCCAAATCGGGGCGCATGGTTTTAACCCTATTGCGACTCTTGATAACATCGGTCTTGAGGGAAATTGGACGTGCTCGACCATGCAACTTGAGGAACAAGCCACAGGCATTGCAAAGAACAGCACCGTACTCGTCGCGACGCCATAACGGGGTCGTAGAGGTACTGCAATTGTGACAGGTAGGCTGCGTGGATCCGTTAGTTGCCATCATGATGCCGGTTATTGAATATGAACATAGAGTGAGTAAATGCGAAAGCGGGAGGGAGAGCGCTGGTTATTATCTCGGCGACGATAAGAGGATGGAGTAAAAATCTTTGGCTGCAACGTAACTGGCTTGATAAGCCAGATAAGCCCGCAGTAAAGACCCGCTATCAATCCTGTCGAGGTCTAGCGTGGCAAGGTCTGAAAGATAAGCCACGTGACCGAATGAATGGTGGACGATAAGCCAAAGTTGATTGTAATGGCTGCGAAAAAAACGGGACGCAGCGGCTTTAGAGATAAGATTGCAATGCAGTGGTGACATGCGACTCTCTCTTCATGAGTGCTGATAAGATTGCGATAAAGAAACATGATCGAGACTTACCATGGTACTTCCAGATCCCCCACTTGTCGCGGCATGAGATGCAGTAGGATACATAGCAGCGGGCGATGGAGCGGCCGAAGCTCTGCAGACAAGGGTTAGTTGAATTGCATATGAAAAGCCTGGTTGGTATTGTTGGGGGCTTGATTGGGACTTGTCGAGTGTATGTGCATTGGGTGTATTTACAGGTTGTGTCCGTACCTCAACTGAGCTGTAACGTCTGTAGCCGCGTTGGCAGCGGCGAGTGCTGAGATGCCTGGCAGTACGTGTGGTGGTAACGATGTCGATGCAGTTGTCGAAGTAGACTCTGGTCTCGAAATTGGATCGAGTGCTGCCTGAGCAAGCATTTGCGACCCGTCCTCCTCCATTTTATTCGAATGTCGCTGGAAGGAGGTATGGGTGTAGGTACGATGGGATGCTATCGATAATGGCGATAAAGATGGATAGATATTCGACTTTATCAGCGATTATGTCGTGACGCGCAAAATCGATTGTATGGTGTGTGGCTGTATCGCGACAAAAATTTGAGATGTGGTAGCGATTGCCGATCAGCAGTGTCTGTGAGTTTCTGCGCCAAATGATGGAAGCAAAAGTGATGACAAGGTTGATGTAAGTGAGAAAGATTGATGTTTGCGATTGAGAAATCAAATGGCCGACCGCGTCGCGCACTGAGTACCTGCTAATAATGGGCGGGCCGGCCAAAGTTTTTACTTTTAGCTGCACGTAATAAGTTTATGCGCATTTTGATTGGTCATCTTGCTAAAGGTTGCATGAGCATTCCTTTTGAATTAGACCCTGTCCTGTAGCTTGAGAATCACTACGTAGCTTGCTACCTGATGCTTGAAATAATTCGTATTCAGTAACAGATATCCGTTACTAGATCCGAGATAACGAATGTCTTTTATCGATACTGATCTCTGATATGATATCTTATCGGTCATGCGGCGGAAAAAGCAAGTGTTGACACAGGGATAGTTTAACCTCTAATTCATGGTTACACCGAAAGTAAATTACAGTGACGAGAAATTATTTACAGTGATGAACATGCTTTACTAAAATGGACACTCCTCGATCGATGATTGAATAATAATCATTAATTGGCTGCTGTTGAGTTTCCTTGAATCTTGTTAGAATGTTGCACTTTAGCCCGAGGTGTCTTCAATGCCGTGACATTTACAGTCTTTCGTATAACATGGTTTGGTTAGGTAAATTAAGCATTCAGATAAAAATATATATTATTTCATAAATAACACATTCATAGAAAATCCTACCAACATAATTTGTCATGGCTCTATACTGGACTCTCGTCATGCCTATCTATAGGGTAAGCGCACTGTCATGGGACCATGTCAAATTTGAGGGTGAAATTACCAGCCGATCGATTTGATAAGTGGATTCCGGAAGCTACGGAGTGTGGAAATCAGAGACAAGAGGTAAGTAATTTCAAACGATTGCTTCCCTCTAGAGAAAGTGTATGACGCATGCTATATGTATTCGAATCACCAGCAAGCTCACTGTAGTCCCAATCGTAACAGAAAAGATGGTAACAAAAAGTCGTATAGACGCGTCCTACTGTGCTTGCTATACGCGTTTTCACACACACGTCATTCCCCACATCATCCACAGGGACAGGGACAACAGCCACAATATGTACCCCTCCACGCCACATCCATACAACAGGCCATACCAGGCCATGCTAGGCTATGAGGCCAGGCCAGGCTCAGCGGTGTGAAAGTGACATCTTTAATGCGGTACCTACGGTACGGAAAAGGCTTGGACAGGGTCATTAATTAACAAAGTCCCCAGAATTTCATTTCTCGACCCATCTTCCCATCCTATCCCATCATCTTCACCTTCTGAATCGAAACAGATCAACCTCCTGTTTCTCTACCTTTTTTTATCTCCCAAGTACAATCACTCAACCAAGTCATCATGTTCAACTGGGCTAAGCAACAGTAAGTATCCTCTATCAGATCTTCTGGACCCCACCATGCATCACCACCCCATGGACATGGAGAGACTTTGAAGCAAATACTGACCGCTATAGACTGGCCAATGTCGCCGGCACTCAGGAGCCCATTTACGGTCCCTCTGCCATCAAGTCTGTTGCCATCGAGGCCGAAAAGACTCCCTACACCGAGCTCACTCGAGATGGCTTGAAGTGGAAGGCCATGGACTCGACCTCTGTTGAGACAGAGAGTTTCTACATCTGTGCCGACAACGGTTACATTGCTCTTGCCCAGGTCATCTATAGCAACGTTGCGTATGTTCCGCACAATCCGTATCACTTCGCTGTCACTTGCTAACATGTACAAAAGCGGCATTCGAACAACCTGCCAGTTCAACGCAAAGGTCTTTGACAAGGACCCTTCAAAGCCCCACCTCTGGGCCTCAACACCTCTCAACAACCAAGACTTTAACGAGGACAAGACGAGTTTCTACGCCGACGACTGCGCCGTCGAGCTATCCGAGGATGGCACTTACTACACTATCAAGAGCATGAACAGCCAGGAAGCCATCGTTAACCTGAAGATCACCCGCTCTACCCCTGGTTTCCAGGCTGGCACCACAGGCACAACCCTGTACGGCACCGACCACAACAACCCATGGGGATCCATTCGTCATGCTTTCTGGCCTCGCTGTGTCTCCGAGGGTACCATCACCACCAAGGAGGGACCCATCGACCTGAAGGGCAAGGCCTTTTTCGTCTACGCCCTCCAGGGCATGAAGCCTCACCACGCCGCTGGTCGATGGAACTTTGTCAACTTCCAGGGCCCCACCTACTCAGCTGTCATGATGGAGTTTACCAGCACCCCGTCATACGGTTCAACCCTTATCAACGTGGGCGGTATCGTCAAGGACGGCGAGATCATTACTGCTGGCGCCACCAACACGGCCACTCACACTCAAGTTAAGAAGGATTCCGAGAACGAGTGGCCTGAGCCGAGCGAGGTCAAGTACACCTGGTCTGGTGCGACCAAGGACTCAAAGCCTGTTGAGGCCCTAATTGAAGGACCTCTCGGCGAGCGAGTTGATCGAGTTGACGTCATGGCCGAGGTCCCCGGTTTCGTCAAGACAATTGTTGCAGCAGCTGCAGGCACAAAGCCTTACATCTACCAGGTGAGTTTTGCTCCTTTCTTTTTCTCCCCCGTTGATTTAATTTCCGAACAACCGAACCATTGGGGAACCCCCTTGCTGACAAGATAATCTATAGTACCACCCCAAGCTCTCCCTGAAGCTCAAGATTGGCGACGAGGAGATTGTCGAGGAGGGCGTCATGTTCACCGAGGCCACCTTCATCTCGTGAAGTAGAGGCTAGACGACAGAAAGAAAGACGGGATCGATATTATGTTTTATTTTTTGGATTCGTCTTTTTTCTTTAATATTCAGAGTACCAACCTTTTTACACACAAAGACATTGGGTAATACAGTAATCGACACTCTTGAGAAGAGGGCAGGGAGTCTCGGCGTTGGAGACAGACGGCTTGGTCACTCGTTTAAATGGATACGATATACTACAGACTATTTACTACACTACAAGTGATGCCCTTTCCAAACCAATATTGGACTTGAAGGGCCCTTTATTTTGGCTCGACACGTCTCACGCGTCTTTTGATTCGGGTTCTAGCCTTTGTGTGTTTTTACTAAACCGCAGCCCGAATGAATAAACCATTGTTTCCCTTCGCCCTCGTCTTGGATCAGCTCAGCTCAGACCAGAACTTGTGACGTCCCACAAATCCAAGTTAGCTCTCATTGTCTGGGCAGGTCGGGTGAGCCACTTTGACAATAGAGATATGTCTCTTGTATCCGTCTCTGTTTGTCTCTATGAACCGAAAGAACCGAAGGGGCAGGGCAGACTTGGAGACTTTTTAGTCCAACTAGTGGGGGAGGGAGAAGTGAAGGAAGAAAAGCCAATAATATTGACGATTTATCGATAACTCTCGTTCTCCTTCTCTTTAGTCTGTTCCCCGCCCACGATGTCAAGGGAGAGATACCAGTCTTAGTACTTACCATGTTGGCTACTCCATACTAAAGTGCAAACCAAACCAAACCAAACTGAAAAATCTCCACAACAAAAGGCTGCATGTCTCGCCCGTTCCTGACTACCTTGTCTCGTCACAATCTTTCTTAGCCTCTGTCTCGTATGCAATGCAGGTGTTAGCTAGGCTACATGAAGGTTTGTCTCTTCAAGCAAGCACTTTTGGCTTCCGAGTCCCCTCCTTTTTACGCGTTTTTATTGCTTTTTATTTGCTGCACTCACTTTGATTGACGTGCTGATGATCTGAGTCGTTGTGCCTGACTAACAGTTAGTGAGACGACGATCCATCCATCCATCTTTACTCAACTCAGTTGGTTCGTATTCAAGGGTCGCGACTTATACGCGGCAGAGAGAGCATTCCTCTAATCCAGAACACCAATGTTTTAGTTGAGAGAGAGGATCCAGCCAGCCCCTGTAGACGATTTTGGTGTCTCGAATTACACAAGCTAGTCTCTTGTTTTATCTCTTGTGGAATTGAATATAAGGATTGCGAGAATCCTCTTTTCTTTGTGATAGTTACTCACTATTATCCCTCGTCCTTTACCTTTCTCCCTAAAGAATATATCCCACCAATATTCCATCTTTTCTCCCTATTGTGAAGGACCAAGAATTCCATTACAATCATCCTCCAACCAAAGGGTTTCCTTACCATCTATCATCGTGAACATACCAGCACCGAAATAACTCAACCTTCAACAATGCCCGCCTGTACCTACCGCGATGCGTCGTCGTACGCCCCTGTATTCCCTTCTCCTCTCAACCCCACAAGCCATGGACCAGAGAACAAGTACGGTGCTGTCCGTATCGCTCGTCGAAGACGCAGCCGACCTGGTCGACGAGGACCTCCTGGATCCCACACTCTTACCCAGCGGCTCCTTCGTGTCAAGGCCGCTGATGCATGGAGGGGACATGTTCTAAGTGCTCAGGTTACTCAGTATGAGTGTGCCGAAGCTGCTGCTATAGGAGTTATCAGGCAAACCAAGAACAGAGTAAGTTTCATCTTTCACACATCGTTTCCAAGAATCATATACTGATCTCGACTCAGAACTGCTGTTCTTCAATGTCCGGCCTCAAGAACTTTGGTCTCAACTTCTCCCTCTCCGACGCCCATCGTATTGCCAGCAGAATCAGTCTGCCCGATCTATCATGTCTCAAGACAAGACGCATACTTCTCGCCATGGGCCTCGTCGGTCTGCTACCTGCCCTCAAGGTCCGCGATGCTCTGAGAGCAGCCGAGTCATTATGACTTGTGTTTCACGGCGAAGAAAATAGCTGTGACAAGAATAATGACTTTTATGAGAATTGCGATTGTGAGCCGTCTTTTGATGGTGCGGCGTTTCTGGGAGGAGATTTCTATAAATATACCCGCGTCTTTACGCCTGCCTCTTCCTTTTTTTCACACCAGTCTAATACAATACAATGTTTCTTTGACCATAACAAGAAAACAACCATAGTCCCCAGTCCGATACACCACCCCGTGCTAGCTACGTATATAGGTATCATACATCGTGCAAAGTTATACATGAATCGTTCTTTACTCATTGATCTTTCTTCTCTTTGTACTTTTCCTCCACTGACTCGGTGGAACCTGGTTTATCAGCCGCTGTACCGGCTGCTTTCTCTTTTGGCGGACTCTTACTGTCTGGGTCTAGAACAGCGTGTTCGACCTGCCATATGGCTCTCTCGAGCTCAACTTCGAGAGCAGGCATGTTAAGTGTTTCGGAAAAGGTCTGCACTTCCTTTTGGGTGAGGAGGGTGCGTTCCTTGTTGTCCGGTTCTTCGGCGGGCGGGGCATGCAGCGCATAAAGCTGGTCAAGCTTCTCGGATGGAGATGGCCGTAGTAGCTTATGCTCTAGAAGCCATTGGATATGCTTACCACCCGCAATGGCTCGGTAGTGTGACCAGGCTCTGTAGACGAGGTAGAAGAAGGGAAGGTTGGGGATGCTGCCCGATGTTAGCTAGCGGGATCTAACAAAAAGCAAAGTCAAAGACATTATACTCACATGGGTATCAGCGCAAACGGGATAGTAATTGGCATGCCCACAACACACCAGACAAGCCTCTTTTTGTGAAGAGCCTGACGCTCCGTTGCAAGGGTTTGGAGAATACCCTCAGCCTTGCTGGGTGGTATCACGGAGCTCGGGAAGCATAACTCTACCTTTCCTCTGGTTTGGATATCCTCGCTACGACGTTTCGAAGATAGAGGAGGTACCGACTTGAGACCCCATTCCTCGTAGGGGATGCGACGAAAAGCGTAGTTTCCGTAGTCGACGACCTTACGCTTCCAGCCCGACTCCATCTTCTCCCACTGCGCCCACGTCCTGGCAGCCCAGGCGGTGCCCTTGTCAACGTACGTCCGACCCTGTGGCGCAGTCGTGACCTCGAGTCGTTTCGCATAGAGCAGCGTTCGCCGCGTGGAGAGCGGTAGGAGGTACAATCTCATGGTGGGTGGTTGGTAGGAAGAAGAGCTGCAGCTTTATGGAATGCGGATATGCTTATGCCAAGAGACAAAGTCAACCGGGACTGCTTGAACCGATTGAGAGCCAAAAGAGAGGGAAAAGTGTCGTAAAAGTGTCGCGAGAGACTATCGTAGCATGACGGACGCTTGTGATTATAAGTTCTTCGTTGAAAAGAGGCCGCACGGGTAGAGAAGAAGCCGGTGAAGAAAGAGGCAGTAGAAATTTGCCTCTTTGGATGGAGATTCAACAAGCAAGCACTGGACTTTTTTTTTGGTTGGGAAGTTTTCCACCAAACACAAGGGTTTATTGTTCTTCTGCTTGAGCTAGAACCGTGGCGAAGCTGACGACGATGCAATATTTTTTGTCCGTGGTTGGTTTTTTCTCAATGCGCTGGTTGAGCTTAGCTTGGTGAGAAAGCTTTCTCATGCTTGGAGTTGGAGGCCCCCAGAGCAAGAGTCAAGACGGTGACGCACATGTTCGTCATGGTTGGAGAGGGATGGATTTCTTGATTAACACGTGCAGCACTTTAATATCGACTTAATTATACCACGAGGCTATACAGTTGGATATAAGAGTATGCTGCAAATGATTTATTCTATTTTACCATATAAAAACTTTCTATACAGACCATCATGTTCTCCAAGCCAAGAGATCTGACCCTGCACGATTCAAGCATTCATGTTATGTACCTGCTCAGCCATGTTCTCCACCCACTCTCTACCTGTAACCCCCACCACACAAAAGACGCTATCACCAATTCCTGCAGACTTCCGACATAGAGCAAAAATTTAACTTCTCCTACAACAATTCGTCGGGCGAATGGTTTAGTGGTATAATACTCCCTTAGCATAATTCATCCGAATAATCTGGGAGTGGTCCAGGGTTCGATTCCCTGTTCGTCCAACATAGGCGGTTAGATTCCGCTGTTATATCCTCTTTTTGACGTTTCTCATCTTTTTGTACCTGTGGGAAGAACACACTGTAGTTATGCTATACACGGGAAAGCGACTACTTTAATTGTATGCACTATGTCACTTGATGCGACCCTTACCGGCCCATGATAAGATACAAACCCAGAGCCTCAATTTCAACCATCATCCACTGTCCCTCCAATGTCTCATAGACATAAATCTCGATCGAAAACCAAACATCCGTTACTGAACCCCTATAACTAACCCTATGCAGGGAGCCTTTCACTTAGCCTACTGAACCGCAAATCTGCCCACTTCCCCATCTTTTCCATGATGGACAAACTTCTCTTTGACTCACCTCACCTCACTTAGTGTGGCATGGACTTTTCAGCTGCAAGTCACACCAACTCCAACTGTTTGGAAACCTGTGCCTGAGACACGACCATCAAAAACTGAGACCTACAGCTTCTTCAAGCTCCGGAATTGGCTGACGCGACTTGTCTTTTGCACCGATCAAAGTTCCTGTAGGTGGCCACGTATTCGCGTTGTTGTTTCCCATGAGGATTCCTTTCTGAATTCATGCAGGGTCTTTGTATCTACCTGTAGTGCGAACCTTCCGTAACGCCTTCATGCCATGTCCCTTCTATCATCTCTACTCTGTCCCGTCTCTTTCTAACTGGTAATCTTACAATCTTCATCTTTAATGCTCAGACCTATTCGTCTTTAGCTCCTCCCCGCCTCCATGCACGGGACTCTTCGTCCGTGATGCTCCCTTGCCCACAATCTTCTCCGTCCAGTTCCACCCGGCCGATGACCCCTGCGCCTCTTTGCCCTTGTCCTGCTGACCCAATGCCGACGGCGACGTTGGGCCCGGTGCTTCTCCACCAAAGTCTAGATCACTGTCATTGTCACTATCATGCCAGTCCCGATCACTCCACGACACGGAATCCGCTCTCTCTGCCCTCGGGCGTTGGTCCGTCGAGGCATCGCTGTTTCGCTTTGACTGTCCCGCCTTGGGTAGATCTGATACCTTATCAAGGGCCTCCCGTGACTCGCTGTCTGTCCTGGTCATGCCCGCGAGATCATCTCGGCTCTTTTTGAGCTCCGCACCATGCGCGTCTGGTGGCTCATTCATGTTGCGGGCTCGCTCTCGGTTGTCCTCGTCTTCATTGCGAAGGCGGGCGGCTGCCGAGTCGCTGAAGTGAGTATCGACTAGATGCTTGACTACGGGCCATCCATAAGCATTGGCAAACATGCGTCGGACTAACACGTTGTTGTGGGCATCCGGCTCAACCTTGACGAGCACTTTCCTCCAGGACAGGTCTTTATGATATGCTCTTGCAATCTTCTCTTCCACACGCATGTTGGACGTGTCGATCATTTCGTGAATATCCTTGTCCGGATTCGTATTTGCTGTATCATCGTAATCTTTCGCCGACAGCGAGCTGTCCTCATGATTTATAGAGGGGTAAGGATTAGAGCCTGTACTGCTTGTTGAAGCCTGCCCTATCGAGTTCTGTCGTTGACCAGTCTTCCTTCTAACCAGTGTTGAGGGGCGCTTCTTCAGCGGCGGTCCTGGTATGTCCGCTGGATGATAGACACGGTCATGGAAGATAGTTCGTGGTCGTTTAGATGGATCAACGAGATAGTCAACGTCGGGCATTTTGGGGTTGAGAAGGTCACTGGCTGATTCAAAGACAGTGGTCCTTGGCGGAGCTGTCATCTCATCTTCGCCTTCATGACCAGTTGTGGCCTTCGATTGCTTAGTGGAAGCTGCTTCACTGACGTCGTCTCCTTGGCCATCGGGGGCATCTTTCAGAGTTTGGCTATTGGAAAATATTCTCTTTTGCTTCTGTGACACATTTTGAGGCTTGGGTGGCTCGTTACTCTTGAAAAGGTTGAAGAACCCTGCCAATGGCCCGCTGTTAGTTGAATCAGCCGAGTCGGACGGCACCTCATCACCATATGGAGTTGCCACGGAACGCAAGCTCGTCCGGTCGTCATCTATCATTGCCGTGCTGGGCGGCTGTGGAACCTCGCGCATGTTTTCGTGAACGTTTTGAGGTGATGAGGTACCAGATTGGCCGACGGAACGCTCTCCTGTCATGAGCTGTCTTTGTCGGGAATTACCCTGGCTAGAGCCTGTCAACTCGGCCCATCCAAAACCAACAACAGTTTCGACCAAACCGGCATCTCGTCGAGCTTTCTCGACACGTCCGAGTCCTTGCCAGTCCAAGAATAGAAGACAACTTGTGCGGAGTGGAACAATACCATCATTGACCACATTGGAGTACACAGTTCGGTTGCGGAACTTTTTCAGTGCTGTATGTGCAGGTCCTGTTGGTAGAATCCTCAAGAGCGGTTTTGATTCGGGTTGTGAGTCGCCGTAGACCTTCTTATGTGCCGTTTCACCCAAGTTTCCTACAATAGCACCCCAACCACTCCTTGCAATTGTTGGCGCTCTCCATGTCAAACCGAGGTCTTTACCTGTCCTGCCGACGAGGCCAGAGTCCAGAGCAAACTTGACGTATAGGGGATTCTCGTTACTGAGTCCTAGAAAAGGTGTAGCCAAAGCAACAAAGTTGACAGGCTTGATGAGATCAAAGAACTGTGGCGAATGCTTCTGTATATACGCAATAGCATAAGTTTGTACCAGCCCACCAAGAGAATGAGCAATGAAACTTATACTTGTGATCTGGTATGGTCGATCTGCCTTGCGCAAATGTGCACCGTCCTTTCCAAGATGAATGGAACTGTGAGCATGTGCTGCCTTTTGCTGAAGATCATGTTTGTCGAACGTATGGGACACAGCTTCGGCCATTCCCTTTCCTGTTGGCAGAAATGGCTGATCTGGGTATGTCATGGACAACACGTATCTAGCGAGTCGCTTTCCGAGATACTTAATCCCACGCTCCGTCTTTGTCGAGTTGCCCGAATAACCCCGCACAATAACTTCTTCATCATCATCTGATTCATCGTCTTCACCTTCAACCTTGTCCTGATCCTTGGTGTTATAAGTATCTGATTTGGCAAGACCGTTTTCTGATTGTTCCCTCTCGGCTCGCTCTCGGGCCCGCCGTGCCTTGGCATCGATCTTGGCTTGCTTGACAGCTGCATCAATGCTCTCCTTCATGAAAAGCATATCTGCGCCAAGGTTGCTGTGGAGGCCATGCGTTAAAATCACAACATGAACCTTTTTCTTCTTTTTTGGATTTTGTGGTTTTGAAGTGTCATCCTCTTCGACTTCAGGATCACTCGTTTTGGATACGCTCTCTACGTGCTGATCTGGACCGTGACGCTTTTCAGGATTGCCTTTATCATCCCAGCCCGGGAGTCTGGGCGTGTTCCATAATGCTGCAGTATCTTCAACCTTGACTTGTAACGCGCGAGAAAATACACCTCGAGGCTGCGCGGGATGGTGCCCATCTTTGGCTCCCACGCCCTGCTGATGGTCACTAATTTTTCCAGGCTGCGAAACTTGAGTCTGTCCATTAATCACTTGGCTTGCGTTGGTCAGGCTCAAAGACTTTTTGTCACGAGCCAGAACAACCTCGAAGCCGACAGCAGCCGATGTAGAGAAGAGGATCTGCGAAGAAATCTCAACAATCCAGCTAGCGCTTTCATGGTCATGGGACGGCCCTTTTCCAAAACCACCATGACTTCCTAGTCCAGCACTCTGTCGGATAGTAACGGGTACCACAAGTTCACACTCCCAAGAACCACCCGCCTTGACCATGGGCTCAAACTCTGGGACGCCATAACGTTCAGGATATTCGAATTTCTCATTGGGGTTGAAGCCAGCGGGGTAAGCAGCGGCGCAGAGGGTATACGGTCCGTGTACGAAAGCGGCGCGGAGAGCGATGGCCGAAGTGTTGCGCACGCGGAGGTAGAGCTTCTCGGGGGACGGTAGGATGCGGTCCTGCGATGGAATGTATGTGATAGTGTAGCGGATGACTTCGCCTGTCTTTAGGCTGCCGACCTGGTGGAGAAGAAGCATCTCGGCGCAGCGCAGCAACCGCGTCGAAGTTAGAGACGTAAAACAAGAGGTGTGCGGCACGAGATATTAATTCGAGTGGTAGAAACTGCACTGCACGTGCTTGGGCTCAACTCGTGAGATCAGTGGGCGTTGTATGTCAGACGGCGGTAAGGCTTGACGTCACCATGTCCTGCGCTACAACGAAAACGCCGATTCTCAAACAAAGTAAAAGACGAATAGTCTTAATGTAAAGAAGAAAGATGACAGCGAGAGAGGTCTCGACCGAAGGAGCCGAGTTACAAAGAGTGAGTGACAGTGACAGAAAAAGGGTCTAACATGTACAATGACGGCAAGCTCACGCCCTGGTTCCCAATCTCGCTCCTGGCCAAACGGGTCATTGGCAACCGAGAGAAGCCAATCAAGAATGGCCATCGACATCACTCCTTTGATGGGGGTAGAGCAGGGCCAGGGCCATTCGGAATTGTTTTAGGGGATGAGCCACTGGAGATTTTTAGCCAGTGTTGGCGCTGGTTGCGGTGGATCTTGAGTGTTTCTGTTGGGCTCTCATTCCACATTATCCGATGATCGCGGGAAACAAAGCCACTGACTCCATCCCGTTGGTTCCTTGATGACTTCATTCAAGATCACAGAACTAATACTAAATTTAAAGAAAATATGATTTATAGGTTATAGATGTAAAAGTTGGACATCAAACACAATATGAACCCCAATGCTCATGCTTGCTTATGCTTATACCCCTACCATCATGCCATGCAACACCATGTCATGCAATCCATCTAAAATGGCTTCTCCATTGTTGAGTTCTGTTGGCCTTGACGTTAAATACCCTGTTCCCTATCTACTGCCTACCTCATATGCTTCCATAATTATGCAAAATTTCCACTTCCCATGTAAACTGTAACCAAAAGAGGGTAAGCAGTCTGAACTATGATACAAAAAACACTCTGTAACAATCTTTAACGAGAGTTTGGATATCCAAGAAATCGTTCATTGCCTCGTCATTCATGATATAGACACATCAGACTCCTCTTCAAACAGCCACAACTGCCGGTCCCAATTCGCCCTCCGGATCACCGGGCTCGACAAACTTCCGCCAGACGTCGATTCGTCCCATACCAGAGTTGCGTCCGCTAAGTCCGGCTAGTTCTGAAGACTTGCGTGCGTCGCTGCGTCGCGTGCCCTTTCGACTACGCGAGCTGTGACTGTAATATGAATCATCGTCGTCGTAAGTGTTGGGATCCCGTTCCACAATCAGAGGCCCTGCTCCTCCGCGGTATCCTCCTTCCATGACTGGAGGTGGCATTCCCATGGGTGGTGGCCTCATGCCAGGAGGTTCCATATCGTACGGATCTTCCTCTGCGTGCCGCTCTACCTTTCGTCTGTCCATGCGTCCTCCGTAGTAGCCTCCTCTGCCGACACGAGAACCTCTTTCGAACTCTGCCTGATTTGGAGAAGGAGGGACGCCGCCAACTACTCTGCGCCCTAAACGCTTGGGACTATCTTCCATATAATGGGATGAGGGAGGCTCTGGAGCACCAGCGACATCATACTCGTCGTCTTTGGCATAGTAGCGAGGCCTGCGAACCAGTTCATCTTCGCGGTCCTCCTTTTGACGTAACATGACTTCTTCGTCGTAGATCTGAGGTCGTGGCTGTTTTCCTCGTGGTCTTCGGGGACCTCGAGATTCCTCTGTAGTGCTGCCTTCACGAAAGACTTGGATTTCGCTTCTTTCCCTTCGTGTAATCGCTTTCTCTTCGTGATCAGAGTCGGGGACGTCAGCGTCGAACCATGGGCATTCGCATCTTTTGGGTTTCTCTCCACAAACGACGCAAAATTCAGCACCGCATCGGCTGTCATATGTTAGAAGCATGCTGCAAATTTGTCCACGACTGTACTTACCACAATGCATGGTTATCGCCATCTTTAAGCTGAGCTATAGTACCACACTTAATGCATCTCTTCCGTCCCTCACTTCTGGCTTGCGCGAGATACTTGGCTGTTTCATCGTCCCTGGGACATTTGCCCGCAAAGTGCCATCTGCCATTGCAAGTCACACAAACCTTTGTGTTGCACCGTTCGCAGCGAGCAGCTTTTCGACCTGTATCGCGATCATGATAGATATCGACAGGCCGAATCCACTCTCCGCATCGTCGTGAGGGACAATACAGCCTGTTTTTCAGGGAGACTTCCACAAACTTCTTGTTCCATATCTTCTTAAAAACGGGATCAAAAAGCTTATCGACATGCTCCAGATCGATGTGCTCATCAGTGCAGCATGTTGGAGGCATCTGCTCAGCGTCTGTCATTGATTGCTTAAATCGCTTCTTCAGACAGCTGTGGCACATGCGATGACCGCATTCAAGTTTAGGACATCTCGAGGCAGGGACTTCCTCGAGACAGCCTTTGCAGTCACGGCTAAAATTCCATGTTAGAATGTGGGAAGGGAAATTGATTGAAGGCCACTCACATTATGCGGGGTCGATCCCGAGAACTGTTTCTAGATGTTTCAAATCCACTACCCGCTATGCTGGGAGGGCGTCTTGAAGATTCTCTAGAGACCTCGACCGTCTCTACTAGTCTCCTAGGACGGCCTTCGCGGACAATTTCACGGGACTCGACAACCTTGGCAGTCCTGATGTTCTTGTTAGTCTATAGTTAGAGCCATTGACCGGAGCGACTCACCTCCTAGAAGCCACAGGTGGTCGAGAAGCATCCAGCACACTATTGAATCTTGTCGGGAGACTGTATCTAGGTGTGTCGGTGAGCTCTCGTCTCAGAGCAGGTCTTCGATCTGGCGACCCTCTCTCAGAAGACGCATGTCGGTATCGTCGTATTTCTCTATCGTCAGAAGTCGATGGCGATGGTATCCTATCTCGCCTTCGTGGGATTCTCTTCTCATCTGGCGAGCTCATGTAGTCGTCTGGGCTGGGTCGTCGGTGGTGTCGATGATGTCGCTTATGGCCCCTCTCGTGTTCTTCCACCACCACCTCTATACGTTCATCACCGCTATCATCATCGCTCTCACTCTCACTCTCGCTTTCGCTGTCCTCCTCACTCTCTGTCGGTGGTGTCGATTCGGGCGTTGGCTCTCTCGGTCTTTGCACTCGCCGGCGGGGCCTTGCAGGCTCGGGATGTCTGCCCTGCGGTTTCATGGGTGGGATGCGTACATCATCCTCATCATCTTCGTCGGCCTCGTAGACTGAAAACTGCGGGCGCTTCTTATAAACGTCTGTAGAAGCCCGCATCAGGTGTGCTGGGGGCATGGGCATAGTAGGCGGAGGGTATGCATCGAGGCTCATGCTCCTCGAATATCCCCTGGGTGTACCTCCGTTGGGCCTTTGTAGTTCGTCGACTCGTGTCCGATGGGGCATTGGGTTTGGGTAGTAGGGCGCGACGTCACCTGGACCATACCAATCGTGAGATTCAGGGCGGAGGGGCCTGCGACGCACGAGTGGAAGTCGGGCCTCTTCATTAGGGACGTCTCGATAGTATCCCCCTAGCCTCATTTTCGAAGGAGGGGCCCGTGAGCTCCTTGAAGAGGGCTCACTCCTGCAGGACCCAGAAAGGGACAGGGAGCTGGTCCACGGCACAGCACAACGCAGCACAGCGCAGCGCGTTCGGTTCAAGTTGGTGTCCTAAGGAGGACTAGTTTGTATGTTGGAATGCCACGGGTAGGTTCAAAGTAAAAGATGACGAGCAGTCGGGCCACTCAACGAAGTACACGCTGCGTGAGCAATTGCACCCCCCAAAGTTGATTGGAGTCGGGGGGCTGATCATGCATGGCAACCGCAGCTTGCAGCGTTGCGTCGAGCGAGTCGAGTCGAGGCAAATAAAACCGAGTTTGGAGCTGGGGCGAGGAGAATGTATGGTGGGTGTCGGTTTGTCTAATGGTGCCTTACAAGTTGGGCCGCGAGACGTCTGGATGGAGATCCAAATTGACCAGGCGTCAAGGCACTAAAAGAAGCAAGGAAGAAAAGAGAAAAGGAATAGAGACAGAGGAGACGTCTAAGTGTCAGGCTAAATGAGGAAAAGACGACCAATCTTGGACAGTACTCTTGAGCAACGTTTCTCAACCTCCGCAGTTTGCTATGTTACCGCAGGATAGCGCGGCAGATTCAGGTATCAAGCGTGGTTTAAGTCACCTCACTTTTACTCCTCACGCATCAAACAGTTAGAAACGAATCAAAGTGCCCCTCCCCCGCGTGGGTGGGTTTCGGACTGGCCAGGGTTTGTCGACCGATGTGGTTTTTTCTCGTGAATTAGCGACTGAGCTCTCAGACCCTGCGTTGTGTTACGACAGAGAGAACGAGAGAGGCAGGGTCGTGCTTTTGACGGGGCTCTTTGGGCAGCACAACACACCGTACGAGCCGGATTTAGATCATACGAGTACTGAGGACTCAAAGAGAAGCGAGTGAAGGACAAGCATAAACCTGTCTAACGATATTCCTTTACGGGTGGCTGGCATCATTCCAAGACAAACTGTGGATGATCAGTTTTTGCGGTGTGATAGTGATGTCACGTGGCTGGAGCCACAAGTCAAATCAAGCTGGGAACTGAGACAGTACGTCTCCTCAGGACTCCAGGGTTTGTCCATAGTAGAATGCAAGTGCCACTAGATTCCTGCAAGTAATCATGCATCTGGACATCTTATTCTTGAGACAAACGAGATAACATCATCGTGGCAAGAATGACTTTCATCATCGCTCACTCCTAATCATTTTGAGCGTGACAAGCTAACAAATAGGCTAACAACAAGCTCGTCATTGACGTCAACCCCAGTAACCTAACTCTAGTTACTATAATGGACCCCAAGGAAGTAAGATTAAAACCGTCTATGCTTGAAAAGACAATGGTACCTAATAGTGCCGAACATGGAGTTTAAATCACGTCCATACTGCGCCGGGACATGGCCGGCCATCTGCTTAATGTGGGGCACCATCTCGGCCCGGTCCGGCAGCCATGACGGGCCTCCCCGTACGGCCATTGAACGGCGTGATGGT